CCCTGGCTCTGGACGGGATGCAGATCACAATCAGCCAGAGGGAGATTTTTGTATGTTTCTCGTTTGGGGGGGGGGGGGTGATGGTGTTGTTTGTTTGTTTTTGTTACTGCACCTGCTTCTATTTATGATATATGACCAGGTTCTGACATCAAGTTGGCCAAGCTCATGTCCAAGAAAACCTCCTGCAGGGTAATTCATGGAAAGATGCAGAAAGACTGAAACATCTTAAGTCACTAGTGGAGTTCAAAATTAATACATATTATCTTATTTGTTAATTTTTTTTAAATGAGATTGGGCTGCCCTCATCAGCCATCAATATTTTAAATGGAAACAGAGCATAATTAAGTCTTGTCTTATCAGGAGAAAAGAAAAAATGTCAAATTAAAGTAAAACATTTGTGTTGGCAGCGGACTGGTCAGGTCACCAGGGAAAGCCCCAGTGAATCAAATCAACCGAGAAACTATTTAGACCTTCCCTGCAACACCACCCCCCAATAGAGGCCTTTGCTTTTTTTTTTTTTTTCTTTTTTTTTCTTTTTCTTTCTTTCCCTTGGGGTAGTAGTTGCTTTTGACATTTTAGTTATCTCTTCAGACCCAAGTCGAACAAGTACAGTGGCAGTCTGGAGAGGGTGCTAGCTGGTGGTCTCATGACGTGGGGACATCCACACACCAGGGACCACGGCTGCAAGAATCGCTCTCAGAGTGCCCAGCACAGTCTACACTAAACAGTTCTCACTATGCAAAACACTCCCTTCACCCCCTCTTCTCTCCGCCCTCCCAAGTGTTGAGCACATCTGATCGTAGAGGGTAAGGCGTCCAGGCCATAAGGAAGACCCCGCAAGCAAGTCTGTCTCTCATCTGAGGGGCCATCAACTTTGATCTGTGGGTGCAGAGCAAGCCTGAGAAGGTATTCCTGGGCCTCTGCACCTGGGTGCAGGCAGACAAAGGTACCTGTGGCCAAATGGAAAGATCTCAGAGAGAAGAAGAATGGAAAGGGGGAATTCGTGAAAAGGCCCTTTTTTGTTCCCAGCGAGGGAGGGGCATGGGAGAGACATGTCACATCGTCACATTAAAGATTTTGACAGACAATTCAGGGATAATGCGGAAATTCCACCCTTAACTGCAGCTACTGCGACTTGAAAGGCATTAACTAACCTCCACTAATTGCATGTTTTTCTGTGCATAATGTTTACTTGTTAAAAGTCTTTGCCTGGCCGATTAATTTCCTCTGCCCCGCTATTCATGATCAGTTCACAGGCCCGAAATTGGAAAAATGAAGTCATTTCGATAGATTAAAACATGATTGCACTTTAGGGAGGGTTTTCTTTTTTTCCAGAAGTCTGGAACCCACACCCAGAATGCTGATTTTTCTCCTTGAATGCGACCCTTCAGTGAAATCCAGAGACCATCCTTCATTCCACAAACGAGCGGAAAGAGATGTGTCCTGGATAAAGGTAAGCACAGGAGGGGCCTCTGCTGCCTGCGAGGGAAGGTGCCAAGTTCCAGGAAGAGTAAATGGACTTAAGTCACTTTCATCAGATGAAGATTTAATAACCTCACCAGTGGACTGGGAAATTTTAAAAAGCAGGCTTTTCTTGAATGATTATTCCATATGTCAGTCTGTGTTTTCCTGACAGTTTGGGTTCTAGTGAAACACCCTAAAATTCCGACCTTTTAACTAAACGTAGACCTGTTCTATCTGTGCATAAACATAGCCCACAAGGCATCACCTGGCGTGTATGTGAGTGTTTCTACACACACCACCAATTACACCTGAGGAGCTTCCTCCGACATGCAGGTGACACCCTGAGCCTACCCATATCACAGCATTACAGGGATCTGATTCAATACAGGTCTTCTGAAATTCCTGGGGCCAAAAAAAAATAGGAAGAAAGCCCCACATTGAACCACTTCCAAATAGTCAATTAAACCTCCGCAACTGGATTATCGCCTTTTGACTAGCCATCAGCCAATTACTGTACCGCCAACGAGTGAGCACTTGAATAGATGTAACCATTTCACCGAAATCCATCTTGAGAAAAAAGATTTTACAAGTGTTGTGGGGCTGCCACTCGGAAAGCCAATTTGCAGGGAGCCGGGCATCGTGAAGCAGTTTATTATGCATGGCTCCCACACGGCGGTCTCCTATAGACTGCGCCTCGCTTCTGAATGCCTCCCCGTCCTCCCTGGCTCCAAAGCCCTGGTGTTCTCCCCCACCTCAGCCCAGCCAAATGTGGGGAGCCCCCTCCCTGAATGGTCTCTTGGTGCCTTGGCTCCCACGGACCAAGGCCTTGCTTCCACTGGGATGTGGCAGTCAGCCGGTGGCCTCTCTGACATTCCCCAAGGCATTTTTAGCTATGAGATGGATTACTCATGAAGTTGGTTTAATTTTTTTTGCAGAGGCCAGACAGGTGTTAGTGTCTGCATGACCCTGACCGCCCACCCCCCAGAGTGGCAGACCCCTGCTAACTAGTTGCCCACCACCCCTCAGCTCTCGTCAAGCCAGCCCAACCATTCAACTACCAGCTCACTTTTGTTCCCCCAATTTAATTTCATAATTGTTCTCCACTTAACAAGCTCTCTCTTCTGGACCAGTCAGTGGAGCAGCGGAAATAGGGAGGGGGGAGGCAAAAAAGCTCCTGGAGGGGAAATGGAAGAGAGGCCAGCCCAGCACTGGGGGAGAGACATCCAGAGAGGTCAGCTGGACCGGGGAGGGGGCCAGTTCCAGGGTGGGGCCTCCTGACACCAACTGGGCCACCCGGCCTGAACCTGGAGAGGTTGGGAGGGGACGGAGGAGGGTGGGTCCCGAACCCCAAGCCCTGGCCTGCCAGACTCCCGGACTCACCAGCTCTCAGACTGACCCTCTCTGTCCCTACCCGGGTCAAGGGAGACTGCATGAGTTCACTTTCCTGTGACATGTCCCAGAATAAACACACAAGTGACAGAACTGCTCCTTGCAAGGACATACCATGAACTATTGCCATTGAGGGCTGGGACCTGTCTGATTAGCCACTGAATCCTGCGCCGGGCACATAGCAGGCAGCAATAAATGTGTCGAGTGAGTGGACGGATGGATGGATAGACACAGGGATGGATGGATGGGCGGGTGGGTGGAAATGGATGAAGTTTCCAGCAATACCTAGCAAGAGTGGCCACTCAGCCCGCAGTGGTCCCCCGTCTTCCCGCTCAGTACTTGCAGGGCTTGGCAGCGCACAGTAGGCTCTCCACGACCAGGGGCTGCTATTGTTACCACCGTCACCGTCGCTTGCACCCCACCAGCCGGCTCCTCCACCAGCTGCTCCGCCAGCAGCCAGCAGCGACTGGCGAGCAGGGGAAAACTTTCTCCGACCCCCGGGCCCCGCCGGAGCCCCGCGCCCCGACCGCGCCCCCTCCCGCCGGCACCCGCTC